TATATATATATATATTACATGTATCTACAGTGGAGTGTCCAGAAAGCAAACAGCCGTACGTGCAACGTGAGCCAACTGAGCGCTGGACAGTTGAAAGCGTATGGGTTCTGACGAGAAAATAAAAGAAGTTACGTTATGACAAAAGAAAAATGAAAATAAACCGAAGAGAGTACGCATAGGAAACTATATATTCACAAGATTGGTTTGTCTCACATGCGCTGTCCAAGTTGGAACGGCACAGGACTGAACTTTCATACATTCCAATATGCTTTTTCAGCGGCACATAACTGGACAGGTTTTGTTGGCTCACGAGTGACGGTGTAATCGCTCGAATCCATTCACAATTAAAGGCCTTCAAACGAATCTACGTGTTTCCGAGAATACCAGTGTTCATAGTCAATATTGGGTGAATAATCATAGTGTGAAAGATTCTAATTGATTAAGTCTGATATTAAATGCCTCAAACGAACGAACCGAAAAATTTACACTGCATCAACTGGTACAATCTGTACTTCTTGGAATTTCCTTAGAACTTCATTCTGAGTAGTTACACACACAAAAACACGTGATGGATAACTAAATTTGTCCTCGAAGGCGAAGACCCGAAAGTACTAAACGAACTGGGCTGGAAAGCCAAATACATGCTACACATAATGGGCTGAATATGTTGAATGCAGGTTTGAATACGTGAGTAACGGCGAAACTTTAAATCGCTACACGGATTATCTCTAGAAGGATCGGATATTACCGCAAAATTCAAAAGAAAATTCAACAACACAATCCAAATCTATGCTAAAAGATATTGTCCTGATACAGGAAAATCACGGCAAAAAAAAACAGAATTATGAGCACTTCGAGCAAATTCATTGAAGCGAATCACCAGGATACTGTTTCTGTGAAGATAGGGCTGCAAAAAAAACAGACAGACTAGAGTAGCATATAGGTTCCGTCGCAAAATATTCCTATGTATGGCGATTACCAATCTCCATTAGTACAGCAGTTTTGGCGTATACCGACACGTAAATTTTGAGTAGCATGATGACATCATACTAACATTGAGTGATTTAGACAATCAGAGGCTTAAATGTCCACAATCAAAGGTGACACGCCTCCTTTATAATGGAGTTTCATGGTTACATAATGGAAGGGCCTGAAAAAAGATCAGTGAGCGGCCACAAACGGTTCAAATATCGTTTAGTTCGCCAGGTTCATCATGCAACACGTGTTATTGAGCAGCGTGTTAGAAGGTCAGATAGTGTACGTGGTCGTTGGATTGTTCGCTGGTCTGGTCAGTGTTATTGCATCGTTTCATCACCAATCGAGATGGCATCATCAGTGCGCTGCTTAGGAGTAAAATGGGGCGTAGCGGTGCGTGTGTGCTAATATACGTGCAGCTAGTCAGGACTGACCGTCGATCATGATTGGTTCGGGACTAGATGGCTGTGGTTAGAGCGCCAACTTATTGACCGGACAGTCTATGGTTCCAACCCTACCTCTGCCTCTCGACTTTCCCTATCTATGCTTGGACAACCTGGCAGTATCCAACCCCTCATGGTTTCTTTGAATGGAATGAGAGTTGGGCACCGAAAGGGTGCTACAGCTGAACGTTTATGATTGGCTGTCCATTGGTTGATCTATTATTCTGCACCCATATTGGTCGGCAACCACGTGACCTTTGGGTTTGGCTTCCTTTACTCTTGCCCATGCTCATAGTCCGTCGCCGACCAATCTGGACGCACAATAAACCAGCCAATAAAACTGACTAACTGAACAATTAATCATGGCCGACGATTAGTTCCGACTAGCAGCATGTACATTAACACACAAGCTCCACTACTGAGCGTACAACCACTGACGCATCGATATACTCCACTTTACACCCTTTACACACTGATGATGTCACATCGATTGGTAATCAAGTATCTGCAATCAAACTGGCCAGCTGAGTGAACAAACCGACGACGAAATCCGTATTCTTAGGGCATATTTTCAACTCTGTCGGTGGCGATTTCCGTGACCAATGGTTTTGTTTGTGTCAGAACCATTGACTACCCGTAATCATCATCATCATCATTATCATCCGTATTCGGCATATTTTCAACTCTGTCGGTGGCGATTTCCGTGACCAATGGTTTTGTTTGTGTCAGAACCACTGACTACCTGTAAACAAACCGAAAATCCGTATTCTTAGGGCATATTTTCAACTCTGTCGGTGGCGATTTCCGTGACCAATGGTTTTGTTTGTGTCAGAACCAAACCATACCCGTAATCATCATCATCATCATTATCAGCTGTAATAACCGCGTACTGGTCGTACACTGGTTGCAGCTGCCACAGTTTCGTTCACCGATGATTGGGGGGTAAGTAGCTGCGCATTGCACGCGCGAGCTGGTAAATTGGTGCATAAATCCAGCACTGTCAGTGAGTTGTCAAGCGGGGGGGGGATGGAAAAGAAGCTATGCATTGAAGGCACGAGCGCCACTGAGGGCGCGACTGGGCCATGTCTGACAATGTCTCTAGCCATTGATGTGGACCGTCTCGGGTTCCCCATCCAGAAAGACGGCAGTGACCAGCGCAGCTGACTTTGTTGGTAATGGCCTTCATACTTCGCTGCCAAGTCATTGTTTGACCGCCTCTGACTCTCTTCCACCCTTCACATGGTTGGGCGAAAAGAGCCCTTCGAGGAAGTCGGTCGACTGGCATACGCAGCACGTGGCCAAGCCAACGCAACCTGTGCAGTGTGATCAATTCATCTATCGAGGGTGAGTTATTTCTCCCGAATACCATTCGACGTACTTCAGAATTCCTGATCCGGTGTTCCCACCAGATTCGGGCAATGCTCCGAAGACATCGATGGTCAAACACTGAAAGTCTTTTGACGTCCTCGGCGCGCAGCGGCCAGGTTTCTGATCCATATAGTAATATGGAGCGCACC